TAAAAACAAAAATAAACAAATGGGACCTAATGAAACTTAAAAGCTTTTGCAAAGCAAAGGAAACTACAAACAAGACGAAAAGACAACCCTCAGAATGGGAGAAAATATTTGCAAACGAATCAACGGACAAAGGATTAATCTCCAAAATATATAAACAGCTCATGCAGCTTAATATTAAAAAAACAAACCACCCAATCAAAAAATGGGCAGAAGATCTAAATAGACATTTCTCCAAAGAAGACATACAGATGCCCAGAAGCACACGAGAAGCTGCTCAACAGAGACTTCCCTGGTGGCGCAGAGGTTAAGAATCCGCCTGCCAATGCAGGGGACACGCGTTCGAGCCTTGGTGCGGGAAGATCCCACAGGCTGTGGAGCAACGAAGCCCATGCACCACAACTACTGAGCCTGCTCGCCTAGAGCCTGTGCTCCGCAACAAGAGAAGCCACTGCAATGAAAAGCCCACAAGCCGCAACGAAGAGTAGCCCCCGCTCACCACAAATAAAGAAAGCCCACGCACAGCAACAAAGTCCCAACACAGCCAAAAATAAACAATAAATAAATTTTTTTAAAAAAAGCTGCTCAACATCACTAATTATTAGAGAAATACAAATCAAAACTACAATGAGGTATCACCCACCTCACACCAGTTAGAATGGGCGTGATCAGAAAATCTACAAACAACAAATGCTGGAGGGGGTGTGGAGAAAAGGGAACCCTCTTGCGCTGTTGGTGGGAATGTAAATTGATACAGCCACTACGGAGAACAGTATGGAGGTTCCTTAAAAAACTAAAAATAGAATTACCATATGACCCAGCAATCCCACTAGTGGGCATATACCCTGAGAAACCCATACTTCAAAAAGACACATGCACCCCAATGTTCATTGCAGCACTATTTACAACAGCCAGGTCATAGAAGCAACCTAAATGCCCATCGACAGACGAATAGATAAAGAAGATGTGGTACCTATATACAATGGAATATTACTCAGCCATAAAAAGGAACGAAATTGAGTCATTTTTTGAGATGTGGATGGATCTAGAGATTGCAATACAGAGTGAAGTAAGTCAGAAAGAGAAAAACAAATATCATATATTATCGCATGTATGTGGAACCTAGGAAAATGGTACAGATGAACCGGTTTGCAGGGCAGAAAAATAGACACAGATGTAGAGAACAAACGTATGGACACCAAGGGGGGAAAGTGGAGGGGGTGGGGGTGGGGGTGTGATGAATTGGGTGATTGGGATTGACATGTATACTCTGATGTGTATAAAATGGATAACTAATAAGAACCTGCTGTATAACAGGGAGATCAGCTCGGTGCTTTGTGCCCACCTAGAGGGGTGGGATAGGGAGGGTGGGAGGGAGGAAGACGCAAGAGGGAAGAGATATGGGGATATATGTGTATGTATAGCTGATTCACTTTGTTATAAAGCAGAAACTAACACATCATTGTAAAGCAATTGTACTCCAATAAAGACGTTAAAAAAAAAAAAAAGAACCTGCTGTATAAAAAATAAATAAAATAAAATTCAAAAAGAAAAACAGAAGGATCATAGACCTGAACTTAATGTTAAAGCTATAAAACTGTTGGAAGAAAACAGTAATAAATCTTTGTGACCTGGGGCTAGGCAATAGTTTCTTAGATAAGACACCAAAAGCACAAGTGATAAAAGAAAAAATAGATAAATGAGACTTCATCAAAATTAAAAACTTCTGTTCTTCAAAGGACACCATGAAGAAATTGAAAAGACAAACCAACAGAATGGGAGAAAATATTTGCAAATCATATACCCGATAAAGGACTCATATCTAGATTATATAAAGAACTGTTACAACTAAACAACAAAAAGACAATCCAATTTAAAAATGGGCAAAGGATTTGAATAGACATTTCTCCAACAAAGATATAGAAACGGGCAATAAGCACATGAAAAGATGTTCAACATCATTAGCAGGAAAATGCAAATGAGAGCCACAATGAGATACTACTCCATACATACTCAGATAGCTAATATCAAAGGACAGACAGACAATAACAAGTGTTAACAAGGACGTGGAGAAACTAGAACCCTCATAAACTGCTTGTGGCAATGTAAAATGGTGCAGCCACTTTGGAAAACAGTCTGGTAGTTTCTCAACAGCTAAAGTAGAGTTAAAATATGACCCATATTCCAATGAGATTCCATTTCTGGGTTTATACCCAAAAGAAATATCCATACAAAATGTGTACATGAATGTTCATAGCAGCACTATCTTAATAACCCAGAAATGGGAAAAAAATCCAAATGTCCATCAACTGATGAATGGATAAATGAAGACGGTGTATCCATAAAATAAGATATTTGGCAATAAAAAGGAATGAAGTATTGATACACCCTCTAGCATGGATGAACCTTCAACATGTAATGTTAAGTGAAAGCCAGTCACAAAAGGCCATATATTATATAATTCCCACTGTATAGGCAAATCTATAAAGACAAAAAGTTGATTAGTAGTTTCAGGCAGAAAAGAACAACCAGAGTGCAAAGGTCCTAAAGCTTCAATCAAGACAGACTTCTATGTTCATGTCTTGCTAGTGGTCTACATGGCTGCTGTTGGATCTTCAAAATGCTTAAAATTAAGAATCCATTGTACTGGAAAGACTCTTCAAAAGTCAATTCAATAATTATGGATTTGAAGCTGACTCTAAGCCATTCAGTCAAAACCAAGATAAAGGGTTATTTCATTTTTAAAAATCTCCAGGGAAGAAGAATCCAGTTACTCTTGGAAAATCAGTCCAGTGTACAAAACTAAATAATCTATCTTCTTGCACTTCAGACCTGCATTTCCAACTATCCGCTACACAGTTCCACTCACATATCTTATGGATAACACACTCAACATGTACAGAGCCAGGTTTATTATGTAGTGGGCAATTGTTACTCTTTGGTTGAACACCCATCCCACATTCTTTTGGCAATAGAAACCTGATTTCTTTCTATGGAATTACCTCTCCTTCTTGGATATAGTTTGAAGAGCCCATTAATCAAATGCCTGCCTGTCCTCCTGTAGCCAAGTGAGTGGGGGTGAGAGGATGGAGGCGATGATCGGGGCAGGAAGGAGACCCAGTGCTTCCTCCCTGGAGAGTGGATGGTGAGCAGCACAACAGACTGAAGACAGCTGGCGTTCCCTCACTCCAGCAGCAGGGTCCTGGCCAGCTGACTGGCCATTCTGACTGTTCGAAGCCTGACTCTTCAGTCTTCCCTTCGAACCTAAGAGTATCCCCATATTTTAATAAATTCTCTTCTTGCTTATGTTAGCCAGAGTCCATTTCCACTGGTTTGGAATCAAAGAACCCTAAGTTATACACATTATTTATCTACAACTTCTCAGTTAATGTCACAATTAATCTCCTAATAAGTCAGGCTTGAACCCAGGTCACCAAATCCTCCTCTACCCCCTCACTTGTTGGTCGTCAAGTGGTAAAAATTCTGCCTCTTCAGGGTCTCTCACTTAAACCATTCTCCTCATTCCGGCTGTCATTACCCTACATCAGAAACTCATTCTCTCTCATTTGGGGTACTTCATTCATTCATCAAACGGAGTTACTAAGGATATTTTTCTAAACCGCAGACCAGATTGTGGCTCTCTCTACTGAAACAACTTCTGTGGCTCCTCTCTAAGCCTGGCATTATAGACCTTTCATGATCTGACTGTCTACCTTCCATTTCAATCTGAATTTATTTACAGCCCTTTCTCTAAAATTTCAGATTATTTCCACAAAATCTTGAAGGTGGTGGTGAAACCGTGTTAAAATTTTGATCTTATGTGATATCTGGAACTTGCTTCAAAATAATATGGAATGAGAAAAATATGGGAAGGGGTAGTGGATGGGGATGAGGCAGGATTGGCCATGGGTTAATGGTTGTTGAGGCTGATTATGGGTATATGGGGATTCAACATGCTATTTTGTCTACTCCCGTGTACATTCAAAATTCCCTACAATACAAAGTTTTAAAAGTCTTCACTTATTCAAGAAGGGAGTCCATTGATACTATTTTAGTCCTGAAGGCAATGGAGAAATACAGATTCAAATTCTTTTTAATGTGAAAAAATAGAACTAGGAGTCCAAAAAGGAACAAAGAAAACTAGATTGACATAAAAAAAATGTATGAAGAAAAGAAACAACCAGAAAGCATAATCATCCATATAAAAGATGGCATGAATAAAATCAGATCTAGCAGTTACCACAAAAAAATGTGAACGGGTCAAATTCCCCTATTAAAAGATAAAACATCAGCATCATTAGCAGCATCATTAACTACCCTCATCCCTAGAGTCAAGAGACAAAAGCCATATTGGACAATGTACTTTTTCAAAAAGGTAAGGTTTACATATAGACAATGGAATATTACTCAGCCATAAAAAAGAATGAAATAATGCCATCTGCAGTAACATGGATGGACCTAGAGATTATCATACTAGGTGCTAGGTGAAGTAAGTCAGACAGAGAAAGACAAATATCATATGTTATCACTCGTGTGGAATCTAATTTTTTAAAATAACACAAATGAACTTATTTACAAAACAGAAACAGACTTACAGATATCGAAAACAAACTTATGGTTACCAAAGGGGAAACATGGTGGAGAGGGATAAATCAGGAGCCTGGGATTAATATACACACACTACTATATCTAAGATAGATAACCAACAAGGACCTACTGTATAGCACAGGGAACTCTACTCAATATTCTATGATAACCTATATGGGAAAAGAATATGAAAAAGAATGAATATATGTATATGTATAACTGAATCACTTTGCTGTACACCTGAAACTAACTTGACATTGTAAATCAACTATAGTCCAATATAAAATGAAAATTTAAATAAATAAATAAACACCCGCTCCCCCCCCAAAAATAAAAAGGGTATGGTATACCAGACAAATCCAAATTATTTCCTGTGGGCAATGAAATTCCATCTTCAAAAACAGATACATTCATACCTGAAATGGTTTCCACTTAGAACTTCAAGACCTTCTGTTAAGGCACAGTACAGGCTGGTCTGGGCTCCCTGCTGAGGGGTCTTGATGAAGAAGGAGAAAAGCCACCAAATCCTTCTCATGAGGGATGAATGCCGAACCAATTCAGAGTCGACTGTGCCAGGGTGTACAGAGTACGTTGTAATGCCAGAGCCTGATGCGGGGATGCCATATAGAGAGGGGAAGACAGGACTTGATGTTGCCAAGTGGCCAAAGAGAGCAGAAGACATGAATAAACATTTGCCCCATGTGGACTCCCTTCCCACAATGCTATCGCAAGCACTCCTCACAGTAATTTATACCTTCATTTCACAGATTACAATTAAGGCTCAGAGAGGTTATTAACTGCTAGGAAGCAGCAGAGCCAGGACCTCTCAGAAGCACTTGACATTGTTAACCACTCTCATCCTAAAGCTGCCTTTTCACTGGCTTCCATGATCCCACACCTCTTCTGTTTCTTTTAACCTTTCTGGATGCATCCTCTTGTTTCCTGGACCGGTTCATCATCTTCTACCCAAACTTTAAATGTTAAGAGTTCTCATGGCTCACTAAATTCCCTCTCTGTAACTTTATAGCACTCATTTTTATCTATGGTCCAAGTGGTTCCTTTTAACACTTGGCTGACAATAAAAGGCAGTATAATGTGGTGGTTAAGGGTATGGACTTTGTAGTCAGACTGCCCAGTTTCAAATCCAAGCTTTACCACTCACTAGCTGTGTGACCTTCCTGATGTTGTGACTTAGTTTCCTCATCTGTAAAATAGGGATAATTTTAATACCTACACCTCACAGAGCTGTTCTCAGGATTAAATGAGTTCATGTGTAAAAGAGCTTAGAATACTGTCTGGTGCATGATAAGTGCTAAATGACACTTATGCATGTGCTATTTCAGGTCCCCAATTCTTTTCTAGAAACCCTGGGCTCAGAAATGTTTCCAATTTTTAAAATTTTATTTTATATATATAAAGTGTCTATTACCTACTCTCCCTAGTACAGGTGAGGTTTTGCTGCCAAATGAGTTTTGGTATCAAGCTTAGGAAAAAACTGAGTTTTCAGGCCTTTGTGGATTTCACAATTACAGAAAAAGGACTGTGGACCTGTGTTATTTTCCACTTGACATCTACTCTAGATGACCCATAGTAATGCAGACTCAGAGGTCCAAAACTGACTTCATATATTTAAGGCTAAACCTGGTTC